AATAAAGTATCATTTTCTTGTTAATTGTGTGAAATAGCCAGAACAACCGCAGTGATTTGAAGTCGATGTTTGTCGAAAGCACGCTGTGAAACATACAAATAGTAGATATCCAAATGTTATGCACAAATTTACTTTAAAAGAACTAGCGTGGAACTGACTTATTATTTGAGAATTTATATAAATTATTCCAATTATAAAATTGTGATGTAGCTTCGTTCGAATTGTAATACGCATTTAATTTCATCTTCCGATTAAAATGGATTGATCTTTGTAAATTTTAATTGGAGATTATTCAATATTATTAAAATCACCCTCTACCAACTTAATTTTTACATATTTCGTCTGTTTCCCTTAATTTGACAAAATACTTCTTCTTAGTTAACTAAACGAAACTAAATTTTAAGTTGGTTCTTAGCCAGAAAAGTCGAATTTAAGGCGACTATGAATAGCTTTAGTTGTGACTTAGAATAGTTTCGACTTAGTTGAGTACTAAATATGACTATGAATATGCGCCTATATGTTTCCCATATTTGGACGCATTTCTAGTAAATGTGCATATTTAAATTTTTAATATGACGGCAGGATTTCTCCCAAGCACATCGAAAAATTATTTAATGGAAAAATTACAGTGGCTTCCACTCCGAACGGCCTGGGTTCAAGCAACATCACAAAAGCAATATAAAACAAGTAAGAAAGTCTAAGTTCGGACGGAGCCGAACATTAAATACCCGGCGCAATTATTAAATATATGTTTTCCACCTTTCCGAAAGCTACCGCTACACGATAAGCCGGGGTGTATAAATTTTAAGTAAATTTGCGTCCTTAAATTTCGAAATATTGCAGTTTCAAGCATTTCTGAAATATACCGTTATATGAAAAGCGGTCGTAATTTTAGTCCGATTTCAATAATTTTCAACGAAAATTTTTAAAATCGGACAATAACCACGCCCACTTCCCATATAACGGTAATTTAGAAAAATACGAAATCCCCGATAAATCAGTAAATATTAAAGCTAATTTATTCAAAATTGATGGTTGCAACAATTTTTTACCAAGAAATACGCTTATGATAAATTTGGGAAAATGGGCGTGGCACCGCCCACTTATGATCACATATATGTGGGACTGCATACGCTAATATGCAACCCTGCACAAGAACCCTTTTTAGACGAACGACAATGAACGAAAGGAACGCGGACAGCAACATGGACAACGAACAAACGGACGGCAGATGTAATTTGAAATTCGGACGAGTCACACGAACAGCGCATTTGACTGATTAAACCAAGAACTTTTAAAATTAATAAAACTGTTAAATACAAAACGCCGTGTGTATTTATTTCGGACTCCACAAGTGGTGTCAGGCGTGGATAGAAATCCTACCGAGTGTTTTGTTAAACAAAATTTGAAACTGTGTGCGCGGCGATAAAAGTGCCGGTAAGCACCAAAAGCAAAATTTTAAAATCCGCAGAAACTCAAACACGAATAAGTGTCTTGTTAAACAAAATTTGAAACTGTGTGCGCGGCGATAAAAGTGCCAGTAAGCACCAAAAGCAAAATTTTAAAACCCGCAGAAACTCAAACACGTATTGTGCGCGTGTGTGTATAAGAGGGAAAAAAGCCTCAATGCGCAAAATCAAAGTGCCTTAAAGTGCGAACAAACGCAGCATACGGTGGCGAAAAGATTTTTTTTTCTTTCGCAAAGTACAAAAGTGCAGTGCAGTGTTAAGGAAGCCCCAGAAATACATTTTGCCAAGGGCCGGACACTGTACCCTTAATTTGGCGTGGCGTGGTCGGTGGCGACAATTAAGAGCACCGTTATCCCAAGCCGCTGTAACGTCGAGTCGACGAGCGCAGTCAAAAACAAAAAAGCAGAAGCAGCGCAACTTAGACAGCGAGCGCTGTTGCGAAACCGAGCAGCGTGCGCAGCAGAGAGCGCAACCGCAACAGTAGAGCAGAGGAAGAAGAGCGAAGGCAGCAAGTAAAAGAAGACTAGACGAAAATTCTAAGTAGACATCAGAGTGAGATGTCGTTGCTGGAGAGCAAGGCATAGGCAATAGTGGCCGTGAGCAAAGGGCGAAAGCGTCGATAATCAAAGAAGAGACAAGTGGTTTGCGAAATTAAAACAAAGCAACGCAGGGTAGATGCGCTGCTAGATGCCGAGTACAGGAGCGAGTACGAACGAGAGTACGAGTGGGAGCAGTAGAAAGGCTGAGGTTGGCGAAACAGCGAGAGCAGAAAAGTTATTGTTTGTATGTAGAAAGTATGCGAATGACAGGTATGTGTTCAGCAGTGAAAGAAAAATCTAATTGGATTGGAATAGAAAGAAGATTGAATTGAAGTTTGTGAGATAATAAAGCAAAACCAAATAAATTTGGAAACGGAATTTAAAGAATAAGATTGAAGAAGGAAATTGAAGTTGACTTCTATTTAGCTGAGGTTTGCGAAAGAAATTTGAATTTGTTAATCAAAACAAAAGAATAAAATAAGAAGGGTGCTCATAAAGTAAACTATTTTCTTGTAAGATTATTTGAAAATTAAGTGAGATTTCGTTTGTAAATGAGCTAAATGAACAATTTCGGAAAATTTTAACACAATTTGTGTAAATTTGTTAATATAACCAAAAGTCAAAGAATAGTGCTCATAGTGTAAACTATTTTCCTGTAAGAATATTTGAAAATTGAGTAATTTTTACAGCATTTGTGAACATTTAATATCAAAGCTAAGGAATATTTTGTCGAAAGGTTATATTTACTTAGTATAATAATTTTAATACCTTGATATTTGCTAAATATTTTACATTGTTAAATATTGTAAACTTCGACATGGACAGGGACCAAATATTTTCACTGACTGTGAACGGTTTGAAGGATAAACTGACTGGACTGGGACTTTCAACCAATGGACGCAAAGCTACTTTGCAGGACCGACTTTGCGAGCATTTTGGCCTCACCATAGGCGACGAAGATGGCTCCGGGAGTGAGAGCGATTCTGTTCAGAGTAGTGTATCGCAGGCTGGGGTGGTTGGTCGTCCGGCTTTCACATTGCGCGATATTGAAGGTTCTCTTACGTCATTTAGCGGTATCGGGCATCCCTCTGTGGAAGAATGGCTCTCCGATTTCGAGGATAATGCCACAGCTGTGCAGTGGGGGGATCTTCAGAAGTTTATTTATGGGAAGCAGTTACTAAAGGGTGCTGCTAAAATCTTTGTGCGTAGTCAACGCGGCATTAATAATTGGGATACGCTCAAGCGAGCCTTAAATAAAGAGTTTGGGGTAGTGGTATCATCTATTGAAGTGCATAGGGAGCTCAGAAATCGTCAAAATTCCTTT